CGAATCCAATTTTATTGCGGTAATAATATTCTGCTAAGGATTACGTGTTCGAACCGAATCTATTTCCCGGCATCGATAATAATAGAAGACGAAGAATCTGCTCTCCTCTCTTTGCGCGAACACAGGCGTATAATACAAAATTTCAGCGTGGCGCAACATTTACTCGAGCTTGTCCAACGATCGTTAATTAACGCATCAAAAAGTTTCGTTTCGATGGGGAGCGTGTTGCAATCTCGATCGATAATTAAATTCGCCAAGGCGATTGAAATTTTCTTGAAAAAAGTAAGGGATGCTCGCTTGATATGGAAAATAATTTATAAAAATTGAAATAATTCGAAAGAAGAAATAGAAACGATGACGAATTTAAAAATATATTCTTAGAAAAATGAAAAGAATAAAAAGTTCGATTAAAATTGAAGAAATAATTCAAAATTGGTATTGGATTAAAGTTAATTAAAGTTGAACTGTGAAGTATAAATAAGGAATGTTGAATATTTAAAAAGGGAAAAAATTTTGAGTTAACGTTTTTAAATGATAAATTGGTTTGTTAATTTTTCTTTTCTTTTTTTTAAATATATAATTAAGATACATCCGTTTGAAATTCAGAATACAAAATGTTCCAAGAGAAATTTTATGTAACGTTGTATTTCAAACGGAATATGACTTCTTGCGATTTGAAATACACCGTTTGTCGACTATTACGAAACGAAGGATTTTGTGCAGAAATCGAGGCGCTCGTTTGGAAACGAATAAAACTCGACTAGATTATAAGTTTAACGTTGAAGAAAACAAAATCCAGCCGTTTTGTATACGCAATCCTCTATTTCGAGCAGCGGAACTCGTCGTTTGAGATAAAATCGATGAAATGGCCGATGAAATCGATTCGTCCATGATACCGCTTCTTCGCAATAAAGTTCCAGAAACACAGAATCTACTAATTTTATTTGTAAATTTTATAAACATACAGAAGACATGATAAAAACAAAATACACATAGTCCAAGAAAAATTTGATTATTAAAATAAAATAAAAAATTCACTAATCTATAAATACTACAGATTTACTACAATCTATTACTGCAACAAAATTTAAATTCTAACAACACTATTTTTAAAGTACATCTAACACACAATTTATCTCAGTATTCAACTCGTCCTTTGTTCCAACTCATCACTCGGACAAATAATTTAAAATTTAGAATACAAAAATAACAATAATTTTAATCATCTTAGAAAAAGGGATATCAGAAATTCAACTGTGAAATACCTTAAGCAAAATACTCAAAAAATACTATTCTAATTTAATTATCATCCAGTATCCACGATCACCGATACGAATTAAATGAAAAATTCCACGTAGACGAAGAAAAGAAAAAAAAGTCACAAAATTCACAAAGACTATCAATTACAGCACAACAATGGCGAATTAAGGAAGCTCGCCTCGTTAACGAGGAATCATTATCCTCCTCGTAGTAACGATTTCGAGATTCTTGAAACGATTTCCTCGTTAAAGGACATTCTCCACCCGACATTGGCTGCAATTTACGAGGTCCGCCTATTGATAACGTTTCGCTCTGGCGAGCTCGAAGACTTTCACCTTGATCATAATCGACAGGAAAACCTTGCGCAACTTTTCCGCATTATCTATGCATACCAACAGCCGTCGATCGAAACCGAAATTCAACCACGCTCTATTAGCGCGTCCCCCCTCCTCTCTCTCTCTATCTCTCTAGTTAGTCTTTTCACGCGTCGATCGTTCGCGGAAATTTGGCACGTTTCGACAGGAGATCGCTCGTGCGTGTCGCGAATTCGCGAATCGTTTTCGTTTTTTTTTTTTTAAGTTCTTTTGTTATTTTGCGAACCGAATTTAATATTCTTTGCGTACTTTTTTTGAAAATGTTGGCGGATTTATAAATTTTCAACTTTCGATCGTTTTGAAACATTAAATTTTGTTATGCAGTAAAATTTGGATTGTGAATTTAATCTGTCTTTGAGGATGAAGAAGGATACAGATATATTGGATGTATTTTATTAGGCTCTTTTGTTATTTTGCGAAACGAATTTAATATTCTTTGCCTACTTTTTTTGAGAATGTTGGTGGATTTATAAATTTTCAATTTTCGATCGTTTTGAAACATTAAATTTTGTTATGCGGTAAAGTTTGGATTGTGAATTTAATCTGTCTTTGAGGATAAAGAATGGAGGATATAGATGTATTGGAAAATTTTCCAATGAATTTTTGAAAGGAATAATTAACAAAATACTTTGCCATACTTCGTTCTTAATTTCTAACTCTTTAATTTCTACGATTACTTGTATCAACAAAATATTCCAATAAATACTTCACTTCCTCATAAAATATTCAAAAAAAAAAAATTCAATTCCACAGAAAGCTTTCGAATTAATTGGAAGCCGCAACCGTTAACCGTTTATCAAACATTTCGATTTCTCTCGGCGCGCGGACTTCCTCCATCAGAAACTCGCGAATCGTTCCCAGCTCGGTTGGACCCGGTCGGACCTCTAACCCGTGGCATCATGATCCGCGATTACGTTACCAATTACGATGAGCCGGCTGTTAAATCGAAAACGGCGGCCAGATCCAGCTGGATTATGTCACTGGTAGAGAGGAGCCGAGGTGGAGAAGTCGACCTGGGTGAACGCGAGCTCTCCGAGGAGAGGACTCCACTCTGGCCCCGGGGTGAATCAGTCCTTTGTGCCTGCCTCTCTCAGGGTCAACCGCTTTCGGTGCAGTATATGCCTGCAACGTTTACACGTACACGCGCGAACACGGCCGACCGTCTGACCGTGGTCTACCGGGTGTCTTGCGAGTTGTCAAGAGATTGGACGTTGAGTGTGGTAAAAAGTCGAAAAATTGCCGCCAGATGGCGGTTACGTTGCGTTCGAGGACACGATTATTGGTTCAATCGTAGTTTACAGAGCGTGTCACGACTCTTGATCGCGATTGGATCATTGGACGACGGGTAATTTGAGAAAAATTTCCACCAGATGGCGCCACGTTACGTCCAGCGAATTGGTTTAATCGTAGTGCGTTGTGGAGGTTATGGATTGAATGATTGGATTATTCAGTGCTCGATAATTCGTGGAAAAATTGGCAAATTGTCGCCAGATGGCGTGACGATACCACTGAGAATATGATTTTAGAGGTTAGAAATTGAGGTTTGATGCGATTGCAATTTTCAGTAAATATTTGAAAGAAGTTTTAGAGAAGAGATTGATCGACGAGAGTCGATGGAAGTTACGATTATTGATTGAATATTGAATAATTCGTGAGAAAGTGGAGAAATTATCGCCAGATGGCGGTGACGATGCCTCCGAGAAGATATTTTCAGATCGTATCAGGCACTGAAGTATATTTCGATCGTATTTTCAACGATTGAAAGACGAAAGAAATTCAAAAAAGGAAAATAGAATACGGTATAGAGTATCTCTTTCAGAAATTTCGATCGACGATCGAAGAACGAAAATTAACACCGATTAAAAAAAATATAATTAGATAATTAGATAATTATCTCTATCCCAGCACAACAAAATAACGAAATACGAAAAACACTCTCAATTTTAAGTCTTCCCCTATGCATGGAACTTCCCAGTAATGCTGATCCTACGCTTTCTTCCACTTTCGATATCGGGACGATAGTTTTCAACCTCCAAGCCGGAACCTTTCGCCGGGGGACAAAAGAAAGAGATCGTCTCGGTTGATCATTGCAGAGAGAACATCAATTCATTCGAGCCGAAACGACGAATACGATTTAACCAATCATCGATCTCCAATCATCCAAAACGATGGTATCTTCGTCGATTCATCCGGGCCACCCTGTACATCCTAGTGGCGAGAATTTTTCATCTCTCCCTTATTGCTGCAGGAAGTACCAGCGTCATAGAATTTTTTTCGACCGAAACAAAGAGAAATTTCTGCAGTGTAATATTAAATTCGATCTAGGCTACGCGAAACAAGTTACCAGGAAACGATTTTCATCGTACATCAACGTGTCGTTTTTTTTCCTTCCCCTCTCTTTTTTACATACAAGATACAACTTTCACAGGAATCGATAAAAATTTACTTACCGCTCGATCGGTCTCGTATCAAATTACGAGAAATACTTTAATCCGCGATGATTTTTTTTAAATTGTCATAACGAAAGGGTGACCGACAGAGACAAAGATCGCTGGCGCGCACAGGCGGCTTTTTAGGAGCCGTAACTTATCCCGCTCCCCTTTTTTGTCCCGGCTCTTTTCGTTGGCGCGACGTTTCACCAAAATCGAAGAAAAAAACGAGCGGGAGGCCGTGACTCCCCGCTAAAGGGAGATGGAAGGGGATACGAGGAGCTTTGGGCAGCGTGCATTCTCGAAAATTTCGTGTTTAAAATTTGTTTACATTGAAATATCGAAATTTTTAAATTTTCTGGTATTTTTCTAAAAAATTAGAAATTTAAAAATCTCAGAGATTTCAATCGATCGCAAGATAGATGTTGATAAATATAATTTCTCGGAGAGAAAAAAAGTAATATGAGACGAATATTCGAAAGTTTTGTTTCAATTAATTACCGTGTTTTCCGTTCTCCAAGATGAAATATAAAAGGAATGTATATTTAATATGTACATTTTTATTGGATCTTGCTTTTTCTTTTCCACTGCAAAACGTCCTTCGAATTCCGTGTAACGACAAGTTGCAATTATAAATTATGCATGTGATAAAGAATCGAAAGATAAATCGTTTCGAAAAAAAAAAAAAACAAAAGTCGTTTGGAAGATAAGAATACGTGGAATGGAAGACGCAGAGAAGCGTAATGTCTCACGGTTCTCAAGTCCGCTTCGTTCATCTCGTGCGAAGTTTTCAAAATTGCTTCAACCATTGACGTCACCACACCGAAGTGACGTTAATATCTGAAACCACATTTGGTCCGTTTCTTGTGACGAAGAGGATTAATTTGTGATAATATATCGTTGGAGAAATTTCCGAAACATCCAAAATTTCTTATTTTTCGTTATTATGGAGGAACAATGGTAATTTTTGAAATTCGGTGAGTGGCAACGAATTTTTTTGAAGAATTAATAATTATCTTCGATTATTCGTCTACATAATATTTATTCCATCTTTCTACTGAAAATATTATACACTTTCATGAAAATTCTAAATTCGAAAATTTGATACTACATATTTATATTGTTTTGAAGTTTATTTAGATATTCGTTATCGTTATCTTAACTTAATGTTGATTTGTCGTATTTGTAAGCGAAAATTTTAAAGTATAATAGAAACGATAGAGAATACAGAGAAAACAAAATTATTCGTTTGCAAAATTTTGGAAAAGAAAAATTCGGTTAAAAATTATTTTTAATCTCCTAACCCCCTGTTCATCGAAACAGCTATATGAAACAACCGATTGTTATCGAATACTTAGAATAATTCTGCATAATCGTTGCGCGCAATTACGTGCACGAAGAAGGTGGAATTAATTCAGGAAACGAATCTATTCTTAAACCTAATCCCTTAGAGATTCTCTTATCCTTACGGATGATAAACGACCGACTGTTCTCAATTCAGAAAATCTTATCTAGTGGATTATCGGTGGGTAACGAAGGGTGGGAAAAGTAGTGCGGTTTAATTAAAACTGCGTGGCCAACGGTGTAATTGTGTAATTGGTATAGCGTTCAGGATAATATGTGGTTGCACACGTGCTATAATAATAATAAACGCGATTCTGTGAATACCACTATCGTCGAACGTTTTTAAAAAACGTTTCATTTGAGACGAAAATTATTGAGATGGAAAATTGATGGAATTTTTATTTTGAAAAATAATGAATTTCATTTATAGACGCCACACAAATTTTAAAGTAATTTTTATCTCTTGTCAAGATGAAATAAATTATTCGATAATTATTTTTGTCACCGTGGATGTCGTATTTATGAAACGGTTGAAGAAACTGTCGCGGTTCACGCACATTGAAAGATAATACGATACTGGGGAATACTTTTTCTTTTCTTCTAATTAAAAAAAAGTTACTGTAACGCGTGTACTTTCCATTAGATAATCAAAATTCGACGAAGGTGACGAAAAAAAATTTCATCACTTTACCATTTTATTAATTTGACACGATGAGGCAAATGAACGATATTAAAAAGAAGAATTTTTTGGGAAATATAATAAGAAATTCGAAAACGGAGTATGTAACTTTGCAAAGCAAACAATGCAACGCGCAATCGCGTTTAATCAATAACGCTAAATCATGTATAAAAGAATATTTTTCCTGCTCGCAAGTGAAAAGATTTATTTGCAAATTCCATTTGGCAAACGAAGCGTAACGAGCATGGAAAATTCGATCGATCATACATCGATCCCACTCGTTGAATTTCGTCAGCAGAAATAATCGGATCGACTTACTTCCAGTTTCTCCAGCTATAAATTACACACCACGATCCGAAATCGGTCACCGAGAAGCTGCTCGCTCGACGAACGAACGGAAACTGCGAAATGCGTTTCCGATATCGGGGAATATCCTCATTCAAGCGTGGAATCACGGTGCACTGATTCTTCTGATAATAAAAAAAGAAAATGGAGAGCTAACACTGATATTCACTCTACTAAAAAAAAAAAAAAAAAAAAAAGAAAAGAAAAAGAAATTATAGCGATATACTGTAGAAGGAAAAGTAAAATTTTGAAATGTTTAAATTGGAAGAACAATAATAAAGGATGAATTGGTGAATAAAATTGAAATTTGTTTTCTTCGAAGTATTTAAATTGAAACAGTTTAATGGAAGAACAGCGAATGAAGATAAAATTGAAAGAAATATACGATAATGAATAAAAATAAAATATTTTTTTCTAAAAAAAAACATTTAAATAAAGATAGAGGATATTTAATTTATATTGTAACAAATCAAGTTTTTTTTATATTTTAATTATTGGTTTATAAGATATAATTTTTTAGATGTCCAGATCAATTATGGTTAAGTCGATATACTTAAACAGTTTTTAACGATGTTACTTTGTTGTAATAAAATTAATTAAAGTCGAAACTCGTTACAAGTTGAGAATAAATAAAACAAATGAATTACTAGTCTATGTATGTTTTCCAGCAGCCACGTTTCGTTATCCGCCTTTCAAAAAACGAAACATTCAACATCATTGCCATTTATTAAATGGATTTCCTTATGTAATTTGATTTCTTTCTACGCATCATCGGTAAAATCAAGAAAAATCAACGCAATTGGATGAAACGGATATTTTTCACGCGTGTCCAGACCATCAATCATCGTATTGTGCAACCCAGCATATATAGAATGAAATCTCCAATCTTTACAGTATAATTAAAATATTCAGATAAAATTTTTCAGAAAAAGAAAGGACAGAAAATGAAGACATAATAAGAATTTATAACGCAAATTATAATGAAAGATAATTAACGCAAAGAATAATTAATATTTTAAATGGTAATATACAGTAATAGGTATTTTATTATAGCAAAAAGTTCAATATAAAATGATTTTTCAAACATCTAATATATCAGTGACCTTAATAGCTCAGCTATAACCATAAATATTTAAAGAAAAATCATGAAGTATTAAAAATTAATTAATATAAAATATAAATAATGTGTACACATAATTTCTTCAATATGAATTAATCAACAAAAAAGTACAGTAATTATTCTATAAAGGAACAACATTCTATTAATAAACATATAATCAAAAGCCATTCATTTCTAATGAAAATCTATAGAATAAATATTACCATAAAACAATAGCTCTAAAAAGATTCAAAGATCCAAATATCACAGAGATCTTTCTTTCGAGCCTATTCTCTTATCTCTAAAAAAATCAAGACACACGAAAGTCGATCCAAAGTTTCAAAAATCTTCATTCAATTCTCATCTCTATGAACCTTTCCATTCGATAAAGTCAAAAGAAAATCTATTCCAAAGTTCCAAACATTCACGATTCTCATCTCTATGAATTTATCCATTCGATAAAGTCAAAAAAGAATCGATTCCAAAGTTCCAAACATTCACGATTCTCATCTCTATGAACCTTTCCATTCGATAGAGTAAAAAGAAAATCGATTCCAAAGTTCAAAACGTTTGCAAAAATCTTTTCTCGAGCCAAATTTCTCATCCTCGTAAATGTTTCCGTTCGACAGAATCGAGACGCATGAGAGTCGATACCGGGTGATCGGTGATCACGTGAGGGTCCAGCAGTTTCCGGCGAGGCGTATCGAGAGATGTCGACGGAGGATGGTATAGATAATCCGGCGTTCGCCAGCGATGATTGCGCGGCCGAGTCGCGGCTGAACGATGAGCAACAGGTGACCTTGGATCACAAGTCGGAGGGCGGTCCCGTGGAGAACGGCCATCAACGGGCCCAATTCGTCTCCCAACAGTATGTCGAGCCCGGCAAGACCAGTCCCGATCCTCATCATCAGAGGACCGAGACGAAGATCGAGCTGACCAACGACACCAACGACAAGACCGTCGTCGAGCCGAAAATGAACGGCGTCCATGGAAATGGAAACAACAATGATGCCAGTTTCCTGAACAACAGCGCGACCAGCGTGCAGATTAATGGTGAGTGGTCTTGTTTATCGCGAATTTTTTTTATTCAATATCCTTTTAACGTAAAATTTGAAATTTCTTGTCTAATCGCTGTTAAAAAAACGATCATTATCGTTTACAGTATAAATTCGATTTAAAATTTTTACAATTGTAAGAATTAATCTGATTGATGATTAAAATTGTGATTTTATCGGGATACGTGATAATTATGATCGAGGTGGAAAAATTTGATATGCACTACGTGTTGCAATTGAGAATCATAATTTTATTGGAATATATTTATTTCTTTAAAATTGGAGCATGTACTGTTTCATATCTATCAATGAAATCTATTAATTTTCGAAGAATGATTATTCATCAGTTAAAGAAAAAAAAAAAAAGAAAAGGAGAACAGAGTGTATTTTTTAATAACAATAACGCGATTTCCACAGTTGAATTGTACATTGATATTACTTCTGCAAAATCAGAGAAACAGAACGAATACTTCGATACTCAACATTATATCGAGTGAATATTATCCAATTACTATAAATCCTCGTAACCAACTATCCTCTGTGAAACGAAAAAGAAAAAAAAACCAATCAACGATCAATAACCTTTTACACTCGCTATCTTCGTCCTTCCCTCGTTTTCATTCTATTAATTTTTCTCTGCATATCTCGCGCGAGAGAGACAGAGATCATTGAAAGAAAACGAGAGAGGCGTAGAAGGCGAAAAAGAGCGAAAAAGGAAGGAACACTTTACGTAAGCGGAGGCCACAAGCTTTTACCTTTCAGCGCGGAGAAAATTCCTCCGCGACAAAAAGCGAACGTGTTGCATTTTTCCTCGCCGACTCGGCTTCAACAAATCCGGATGCAATCCGTGAACCGTAATCTAACCGCGCATAACCAAGAATTTGGTCGTGGATCGGGATCGCTTCGATCTTGGGAATCGCGTAAATTTCGTTCGATGAATAATTCATCGGTTCGGGTCGTGAACGATGGGTTCGTTGCTTTAGATTACGAACTTGGAAGTTAGTGGTTTGATCGAATCGAGATTGCACTGGACTAATATAAACGTTGAAATTTGGTGCCCTTCTTTCTTTTATATAGATTGGTGCTTCGGATTTGGAAAGCTTTTGGAAAAAAATTTGCAAATATCAGGAATGTTAAATTTTGAAATTTTAGTTTGAATCGAGTTTAATTTAATCTTGAGGATCAAAGAGGATCGTTGGGCTTCTTTGAAAAATTTGAAAAAATTCTGAAGGAAAGGAAATCAATGAAATTTATAATCGAATTTCAACAATTCGAATTCTTCGAAAGTGTAATTCGGGTAAAAATAAACGAATTGTTGCACATTGGAATACATCGAGAAAATAATGCAAATTTTTTTAATTATCAGATCGAAGTTAGATAGTTTTGTTGTATTTTCAAGATACACGTTTGCACAAAATTCGAAAGCAAATTAAAACATTGTAGAAATAATTATTACTGCGGTTACTGAAATCTGCATCGATCCGCATGATTTTCGAACTTTCGATCGTTAATTACCACCACCAATATCAATCAGTTCACGAGGAAAAACTCGTTCGAGGTCGGTGAAACGCAGAAAATATATGAACGATCAAAATGATTAATTGAAAAAAAAAATACACTACATGTATATCTATAAACTCGTAACAACAGATTCGGGGAATTAAATAGAGAATCAATTATTAAGAGAATTAAAGGAATTATTATCTCTGTTGCAAATCTTGTTCAAGATTATCTTGAATTTACTTTCACTGGACAAACGAAGTATTATATACTTTGATAAACAAATGTGGCTAATAAATATGAAAGCAATAATTAATTTTATTTATTTATTTAAAAATATAACTTAGTTGATATTATTTCTAATTTAAATAATAATTCTGGAACGTTTCAATATATATTCTATCTATACGTATTCTATTTTATACGTTTCTTATTTATTTATTTTTTTTCTTTTTTTTTTACTATTATTATTTTATCAATTCCTTGTTACTTTAGAAAGTATAAATTTTAATTGCCTAACCACTATTATTATAAAATTATTCTTTACTTCATTTCATTATTGCTTTCAAAGAGATAAAACGTCAATATATTTGCAATCAACTTCCGTCAATACATAATGGAATATATTTTCTTTATTAGCAAAGTTATGAGCGAAAAATGTTTCTCAATAATAGTACATCGACTTTTGAACTTTGTTCAAATAAACGCGTTAATTAACTAATTTTTTTCTCTTATTAATAACGATTTTACAACTTCGCCCTATAAAATACACCGTGTATTATTTCCATATTTATATAAATTATATAATTCTATAAGATATTATATACGTAAGAAATTTAATTTAAATTCGAATTCATTGTAGTTGCAATTGTATCAGAAAAGGGGAGAAAGTTATTTCAGAAAATTTTTATGAACGTGGTATAATATATGGCATAAGATAATTAGTGAATTAAATCTACGTTCCATTTTATGATATTGTTCAAAAAATTAAATAATCATGTGAATAATAATTATATTCACATGAAAAAATTTACACGAATCGAGTAAAATCTGATACATCTTAATTAGATAAATTAAACTGTACATCGTGCAGTTTAAACGATGCGTCAAACAAATCTTATAAATCATTTTCACTTTATTATCGGGCAATAATTAAAATTTTATTCGCTTATCCTGTGTTATCCTTTTAAAAACCGATATTAACGATCGGTCAATATTAATTAGGATTAGTTCAATAATATCTCGATTGAAATAAAAAAATGATGAAAATCTTCACCATGAAAAAAAAAAACCCAGAAAAAATATCCAATACCAATGCATCTGTGGACAATCGCCATTATCGAACCAATTTTATTTTATTACCAAAACCAATATTTACGTCATTAAACAATTTCTCGTTTCTCATAGATACCGGAAAAAAAGAGCAGATCGAGGCAGTAAACTTGGAACTGGTCTCGATGAGGCCCTACGCGGGCAACAATCTCCAAACGAAGGGTCAGGAAGCTTGCGAGGTTCCAGCTGATCCCTACGAGGAGTACTTCGTTCCAGTGAACGAGCATCGAAAGTACATCAGGTAAAGGAACGGATGAAAAATATTCCCCTGCTCTCTGTGTTCTCTTCCTGGCTACTGTTTAACATTCGATCTGTGTTCACCAGTCCGGGGCGTTACAAGATCGTTTGAACTTTTCTTTTCTTTTCTTTCCTTTTTTTTTTTTTAGTTCAAGAAAGTAAGACGATATCAACCAGAGAAGTGAAATTATAAATATGTATCACGATACACCTCGTTCTTTTTTGATCTCTTTTCGATTATTTCGAATCGAATCGTGATCGTGGAAGAGCTTACTTTCAGAGTTTTGCATCGAGATCAGACGAAATAAATGTTTGGAGAGAGAAAAATTATCGGTATATAAGAATTTATTTAAAAAGAAGGAAGCATCGATTGATTCGCAAAAAGATATCTTTTCTTTCGCATGCTTCACGAGTTTTGAATTACTAATAATACGAAAAAAATATTAATTTTTCGATTATAATTAATTATAAATTCATCTTGATACTTGAATCTTTTATATTTTTTTTCAGAGTTTCTTGGAATTATGTTTCTGTATACTTGTATTATTTTTCCTCTGTACACAATAATTCTTTTTCATCGCGCAACACTCGATGCAAGAAAAATACATGAAACTTGAAGAAATATTGCTATTGGAATATATTTAAGGCCTTTCCAGATACCGAAATGTATGTTTAATTCATTCCTCGTTTTGCATAGTTGCTAAAACGACCGTCGATTCGTCGAGTTGAATACGGATCAAAGAAAGAACGTATTGTGGTCGAATTCGAAAATATTAATGGCGTAAAAAACGGGGCAAAAAAGTAATTATAATAATACATCATAAATATAATCGAATAATATCATAGATTATGTCACGAAAGTTAACAAGTAAATTCATCAGAAAGATGAAATTCATCAGAATTCCATAAAATAAAAAACCAGGCCGATGCATCAATTTTCGAAAAATAATATCCTGAAACGAAACTTGATTTCATTAAAATTTTAATATTTTTCTCGCGTTATTTTGCTCGTCATTTCTCAAGCCTCCTAGCTTACGTATGATAATATATTCCTAGATTACTTAACATGTGCAGTATATTTTTCTGCCGATGAAATCAATGTTCTTTATTGCAAATCTTTTCAGTTTGCACGAAGAAAATTATCACGAGGAAATGGAAATTTTGTCATTGTTAATCGGTTTAATTTTTTAAAAATCGACAATCATTACAAAACATCTAACAATCTAATATTTTAATACATTTTTCAATCGACTATAATGTATTTAAATAAACTTATGGAATTAAGCTCTTCTCTCGATATTTCAGCCATCGTTAATTATTCACGTAAATAAACATCTACATTCTGGTAACACGCACGATTAATCGCAACGCCACAAAATGAAATATTAAAAAATAGAGGAGAGAGAAAGAAAATAGCGAATATCGAAAGAACGAAAGTGGTTAGAACGCAACGGATTACGTTCACCGATGGAGGAGCTTGCGAAACGAATGTGTCACAACGTTTCACATAGCAAAACGTAGGAATGACCGTCCTTCGTCGGAAATAGAACTCTGAATCAGCCTCGAATTATTTTCCAATCCGCGAATTGATCATTTTTTATTATCTTAAAAATAAACGATGAATAACAATGATAATAATAATTCTTTTACGACATTCTCACGACGAAGAGCAGAAGAGCAAAAAATTCGTCGGGATTAAAGAAAAAGAAATAAGAGAAAAAGGAAGGGATTAATATGTATAATAAATCTCTATGATCGGTCTGCTGAGTAGTGTCGCGTAGTTGTTTCTTTCTTTTTTTATCGCTTGCTTCTCGTTCGAGGCGACGTAAACAGCATTTTTTCGATTTCTTAGGAAAAGCAAGTAGCAAGTTGATTTATGCTGTTTACCCGATTAGCACGAATATAATATAAAATATCTTGCGAGGCTGTTGATACATATTGCCAATATAGAGAAGCAAGAGTAGTGTGCTCCGTAACAACAATAGTTTGAACGTTATCTTCGCAGGGAGCATATACAAATTCACATACAATTTCACCTTTAATTCTTCACGATCGAAATTCGATATCGTCTTCTATCCTTTCTAAATGGACGTCAACCACTAGATGATCCACCATCATTAAAAAAAACCATTCGACGATAATCATATTTAACTCACGCTTCAACTTTCGATCTTAAAAAAAAAAGTAATCAAAAAATCGTGCGTCCAATGATTCGAAATTAATCGCCGTATCACCTTGATTAAAATCAAGGGTCGAGAGAGAGAAAAAAAGAAGATTCAAAAAATAGAAAAGGAGGAGGGCAGAGCGCAAGGAGGACTCGGATCACGCGAGCGAATCGAACCGAACCGAACCACGTACATGCTCCACGCGAGATCGTTCCTTACGTTAGTAGAGTCACGGTTACATTATACACGCACACGCGCGCGCACAGACACACACGCAGCTTCGCCTCCGCTGACCGCGAGGTTATACCGCCATCACCCCGCCCCCCACCCACCCACCCCGCCCCCCTCCCCCCTGCACACCTAAAACACCTAAAGATACGACAGATACAAATGTGTACACGTATAGGAAGGCGAAACACACGTACAATAGGCACAACAGCGCGTACACGCGTGAATAGAGAAACGTATTATACGTAGGTATACGGGACAGACAGACACATACATACGTAAGAGACGCACACGTAAGAGGACAGAGTGGCCAGCAGCAGCCGAGTAGAGAGTTAGACGGTGTTTTCTGTTGTCACGATACCTAGCAGGGGTCCCGAGGCCGAGGTTGAACAACCGTGGCTGGAGTGCGTTTTGATTTGGGCCCCGGCGTCGGCCGCGAGGGACTCAGCCTGAGAGACCCTGCCGCCGGACTGGTCGACTATTCCCACTGGCTGACAGCCCTCAGGTACATTGAAGGATGCTTACGAGGAGACGAGAGAGAGAGAGAGAGAGTGCGTGTGTGCTGATCGATGAACGAGATGGTGGATGCGCACGATATTCTACGAAACTAACTATTCGCTTACAACCCCCGCTGCTCCCCCGATATTTTTTCTTTTTCCTCGGCTCTCCCTCCTCCCTCCCCTTCTCTAATCATGAAACGACGACACGCCCAACGATGGAATGCCACAAGCAATATATTTATTTCACAAAGCATTCTCGCAAAATGCACCCGGGATGACGTGTTAGAAAATTAGGGGGCTAATTAGAGAGTTGGACAGAAGCTGAGGATAGATATATTTTATATATGTGTTATTTTTTTTTTTTTATTATATATATATATATATTTTATTTTATCCCGTTAGGTGCTTCAGGATTCACCGAGTAGTCGCTCACACGCAGCATCATTATTACATTGTTGGAGGATTGTACGCCTAACAGGCCTTTAACAAGCAAAGAAACGATTTTACAACACCACCTCAGAAGCAAGACTCCCAACACGTGGACACTACCGATCATTCGTCGCGAGATGAAACGAGTAATTCGAAATTCTTTTTCGAGAATATATATACATACATACATATATGTGTATATATGTATATATATCGAGAGTTTTAAATTCGAAAACAAGAGGAATAAAAAGAACAATGATTAATAAAAGTGGAGGAAATTTTTTTTTTGCTCGATTAAGGAGGTCGATTAAGACGATCGCGACGAAGTCGTTTTAGGATACGGTGTCTGTTCGTTTAGGGAAGCTTCTAATCCTATTTGATCGCTGAAAGAAGGTCTCGAAACATTGGCATAGCACAATGCTGTACAAAATACGCTTATTTTTGGGTCCAGGATGGGGGTGAATCGAGATTGTTCGTGGTCATCGTTGTTAATTGCGGGTGAAATTGTGTTGCAGGGGCGAGAAACTTTATGTAACGAAGGATAAGAGATCGAGGAGCTCGTATTGGAGAAGAATGGCCTGTTGGGGATGTTGCTTGGCAGTCGTGCTGGTAGCTGTTATCATCGCCATTTTGGCGGCGAGTAAGTGTCTTTCTGCCTTAAATTCCTAATTCGATGATTTTTGTCTTTAGTATGCTGACCGAGTATTGCATCGAGCGTAAAAATTTCGAAAAAACATTTCGTTTGAAAAATTAACGATCAATTAATCGATCGATTGTGTTCCTAGCCGGAGTAATCTTGACGCAAGAGACTTCCGAACCTCTGGAGAATCTTCAGCAAAATTCGCGGCAATTTGGTGACGTACGAACGGCCGAAAGTCAAGAATACATGAAGAATCCTCCGCCGAGTCCGCCACCCGCGACTTCGACGTTCCCACCTTGGCCTACGACCGACGAAACCCTTTACAACACGGTGCCAAGCGCCTTGGACGGTGTGTTGAAATTAGACGAGTTCCAATGGGACAACGATCTAAGCGATCCCAAGTCGAGAGTGTACAGACAAGTGAGCACGGAGATAGAAGAATACTTGAGAAGCATGTTGAGGCAGCCAGTGGATAACGAAACGATCGTTAAAGTGTATGACATAAACAGGGACGGCGAGGTGAAGTTTAGGATAAGCTATCCGCCGCGTTCCATCCCCGAAGAAACGCAACAGATGATCGAGAAAACGTTGCAGAAAAGTGGCAACATGATTGGACACTATCATTTGAACAGTTTAAAGGTGATTAAGTTGATCGACGAATGTCAGAGCGGGAGTCTTGAGTGTTCAGAAGGGTGCAACTACGATTATTCGAAGGGTCTGTTCGTCTGTTTCTGCAAAGCTGGAAAGATGTTGGGCAGTGATGGAAAAAGTTGCGTCGATGAGAATGATTTGAGCAATGTGGAAATGGACGACGAGGTGCCGGAGGCCAATACGGAAGTGGTGCACGATTACGTTCAGGGAAGAAGCAGAGGACCTGGATCGGTGTTCGAACCGAGGAGACCCGACAATTGGGATCATTTGGACTTCAGCACGGAAACAACGCATAATGCGCCACAAGATAAGGAGCATGAATTTCACGTACATCACGTACATTCTTCAGTGGAACCGGAACCTACGCAGACGGCCACAACGAAAGAAAATCGTGTGTTCAATGACGAATCTGATTCGATACACTGGAATGATCATTCGAAGCATGATCATTCGAAGCACGATCATTCAATGCATGATTATTCGACGTATGAACATACGATGCATGATCATTCGGAACATGAACACTCAATGCATGATCATTTGGAACACGATCATTCGACGTATGATTATTCAAGTTTCTCGACTGAACAGAAACTTGAAATGGAATCCAGTTCTGAACCAGAATCTTCTGCTGAGCCAGAACCTTCGGTTGAACCAGATCCTTCTGCTGAGCCAGAACCTTCTGCTGAGCCAGAAC